CGAACCGAACACTGATTTTGGTAATAAAATTCAATGATTTGCAAGCGTTGCTCGTTAGTAAGTCTATTCATGATGAAATGTCAAAGCATACTGAGCATCTTTCTCTTTGACACCATGTCTGAAATCCCACGTGATCTGTCAAATACTAATGCATGAAAATCCTAACCTCAAAAAAATCACCCGTTAGTTATAACATGTAACATTGGCACAAACTATTCACCCAAAAATTCAAGGAATATTTTTATGTCTTCACGGCCAGCCTACTATGCTTGGCGAGACAATGAAGTGACAACGACATACTTGCATTTTGTCAATTGCTCATTTGGCTATGTGTCATGTGTCAGTAGTCATGAGTAGACAGACATTGCAGAATTGCAGCGCGGCGGCGGCAGTTGGTTGGTTTTTTAGCGACTGGTGGTGACTGCCGTGCGACATGTTCTGCGCTTATTGCCAGATTAATGGCAGCTGATAAGGAAATGTGTAAATTTCTACCAACTTGTCGTCGTAATGCGATTTTTTTTTGTTTGTTTGTTTGGCAGTCGTATGTACGAGTATGTAAAGGTTATACGTAGTATATGTGTTGCATGCAGCAAACCTGTTAGCTGCTAGTCAGTCGGCAGTTGCATTATTGCTGTGCTGAACCGCTGCTGCAACAAGGTGCCAATTAGCGAATTGTTTGTGTGTTATTAAATTAATAATAAGCTGCGCCGACTTTTATTGCATATACATACATATGTGCATATGTATATATAGTAGAAGCTATAGCAGTGACAGCGGCGCAGCAATTGGAGGCAGCAACGCGCTTGTTCATAAAAACAATTGATGCTCCACGCGTTACAAATGTTCATTGAATGCGACTTAATGGCTTTTTAACACGCGGCAAATTGATGCGCGCCAATAACTAGACTCAGCAGTAGAGGGGAGTTTGCTACTCAACCCAAGTTTATGCTTATACCACAAATATGGGGATGCTTAAAAGCTTGAAGGTAGTTTTAGATGCGAGCAGGAGGCAGAGGCCAGCAAGAAATATATAAACAAAAATATGATAGTGGAATCCTAGGCAGAAGTAATTTAGTCTGAAGAGTCGCCTTGTTATTACACGGGAGTTAGGCACACTGAGGCTTACTAAGCCCTTTGGAATACCTTGCAGAGGGCGCGTTAGACCCCTCAGCTGCAGCCAAGAAAGCAAAACTGAAAGGAACGCCTTCTATATAGTCCTCACGAAATGATGGTTGAGGCAAAGGTAATGTTCGACAAAGTTTACTAACCTCCAGGTTCACTGTACTAGCATTTTTTTCCACTAGCCAGCGGCCAGTTGAAATTTCGGTCACATGCCGCAGTAGACGGCGATTGAGTAGGTTCTAACACATTCACGGCTACGTGTCGTCCTACAGGTGGGTTTTATTGGCCATCTAGGATTTGCACGAAATGTTCTTCGGTTCTTAACTTATTGGAATGTCGCCTTAATAAGACATGCTCTCGCCAGATAGGCATGATTACTTTCTGACAAACTCATTTCCCCGCGTAATGGCGAGGAACACCTTTCCGCAAAAATATTGTGGTCAGCGTACGAGGGTTATGTTTTTACGAAAAAGGTACAATGATGTCGACGGCGAAACCAATGATACAAGTTTGGCCAGTGCCAAATGACCTTGACAGCATCAGGCAAATAATTAACCTGACTAAATTTTCGAAACACAGAGAATGTGGTTCAATATATTTCATCTAGTGTGCAGACAGTGACGCTTCAACATTCGGGTGCCTGAAGTGACAAGTTTTTCATTCAGAAAGGTAGGTTGTGTACGTATATTAGGGTGCGTGCTTATCAGTCTTAAAGCTCAAACAGACGGCAGCGTTAATCCGGATTAACTCGGACTTAATCCGGATTAACTGCAGTTCATATCCAAATCTGGGTTATAGCAGAGTGCTCTTAAGTGAAGACTTGTTCTTATTTTTAAAAGATAAGGACCTTCGCTCACTCGCATAATACACTACGCGGCAATCTGGTTTCGATAAAAGGGAATTTCAATAGCACTCGCTGCAATGTGGCATGTATTGC